GAATTTCCAGCCCATCCACCAATAAAGCAGGCCATCTTCAGACTTAGGAATACACCAATGTAGGCCCCATTCCTCAATAACTATTGACCAGATTGATCGAGAGAAAGAGCAATGAAGCAATACATGGGAAGCAGTTTCTACTTTAGAGTTGCAAAAGTTGCAGAGGGGAGAAGCATTGTTGTCAAGAGAACCAATCTTGAGCAGAAAGTAAGAACATTTGATTCTAGATTTCCAGGCTAGCCAGGTGAAAAAAGATACTCTGGGGGGCAATAATGAATTCCAAACAAATTTGCTAAGCTTGAGATGAGGGCCAAAGAGAGATGAGTGGTGAGAATAGAGAGCAGAAGCAGAGAAGCTCTAACCAGAATCTGTGCACCATACTAAGCAGTCTTCACAATCCAAACACAGAGATGGAGCAGAGGATAAGAGAGCATTCAATCTCACCTCTTCAGCCAATTCCCATGAATAAAGCTCTCTTCTATGGAGGAGATTCCAAACAAATGGACTTGACCTCCTTGCGTAATAATGATTGAGGGAACCTTCCTTATCATTTGACAAATTGAAGAGGAGGGGAAAAGAAGATTTCAAACAGAGGCCACCACACCAACTATCAAACCAAAATCTGATTCTAATGCCATTCCCAACCTTGAAACCACATTTGCCCACAAAGAAATTAAAGATAGACCTATTAAGAGCCCTATTGTGAGAATGTCCCTCCAGACTCTAGAGTGCTTGTATGAGAGACTCAAAGGAGGGAGCCAACAGGAGTTGTTAATTTTATATTTGCTGCACACAATTGACCTCCAGAGAGCATTGGTTTGAATTCCAAACTTCCACCACCATTTGAGAAGGAGACAAACATTAACATCTCTGACCTTTCTAATGCCAAGTCCCCCTTGATCAATTCTCTTTGTAACCTCCTCCCATTTCAATAAATGCACTTTCCTTTTAAGATCATTACTACCCTCTAAGAAGGCAGCCTCTATCATTTCTATTTCCTTAGCCACTCCTTCAGGCATTTTAAACATGGAAAGGAAGTAAATAGGTAAGCTAGGTAGAGTGGACTTGATTAAAGTTAATCTACCAGCAAAGGACAACAGTTTTCTCTTCCAACCTAATAGTCTAGCCTTGATTTTTTCAATTACAGGCTTCCAAGTAGATTTCCTTCCAGGATTTGCTCCTAGAGGCAGCCCCAGAAATTTTAGTGGAAAACTCTGCACTTTGCAATTGAGAAGAGAAGCAAAGGTGTTTAAACAGCCTTCATCTACACCAACACCATACACAACACTCTTATGGTAATGAATTTTGAGGCCAGATAATACTTCAAAGCATCTGAGAGCTGTTTTAATGGATACCAATTGATCACTATCAGCTTCACAAAAAAGAATTGAATCATCGACAAATTGCAAATGTGAGATAAGAACATTGTTAGATCCAACAACTACCCCTTTGGGAATGCCAAGATTGAGGGCTCTGACTAGAAGAATGTTAAGACCTTCTGCCACAATGTTGAATAGAAAAGGTGAGAGCGGGTCTCCCTGTCTAAGGCCCCTATGAGGTGAAAATTCCTTAGTTGGTGAGCCATTCACTAGAATGGAGATTCTAGCTGTAGAGACACAAATCTTGATCCAAGGGATCCATTTATCCCCGAAACCAAAACTGGCCATCAAAGAAAATAAGAATTCCCAGTTGACAGAGTCAAAAGCTTTCTCGAAGTCCAATTTGAGAATCAACCCGTGTTTTTTGACCTTCTTTCAACCATCCACTACCTCATTAGCAATAAACACCCCATCCAGAATATTTCTCCCTCCCAAGAATGCTGTCTATGTTTCACCAATGATTGAGGGGAGCACTGACTTTAATCTGGATGCTAAGACTTTGGCCAAGATTTTGTAGATAGATCCCACAAGACTAATAGGTCTGTAGTCAGATAGACCAATAGGGTTGTCCACCTTGGGAATAAGGGTGATAAATGAGCTATTGATGCCATATGCAAGCTTGCTGTTAGAATGAAACTCTTTGAAAAATTGCATTATGTCCAGCTTCATAACCTTCCAGAATTTCTGATAACACAGTAGGTTGAACGCATCAGGGCCTGGAGCTTTGTTATTGTTACAGTCTTTTATTGCTGCAAGTAACTCAGTTGCACTGAACTCAGTTACCAGATGTTGAGAGACATATTCCGGGTCAATGGTGTTGAATACCCCTGACAAAGAAGGCCTGTTAACCCATGATTTAGAGAATTGGGCCTTAAAGTGAAAGAGAACTTGTTCCCTAACTCCAGTAGGATCCTCAATGGACACTCCATTTACTGAAATAGAGTTTATGAGATTTCAATTCTGCCGAGAACTTGCAACTACATGAAAAAACCTACTGTTTTTATCCCCATTGATAGCCCAATTCAATTTGGATTTTTGATGCCACATCCATTCTACCATTCTATATAGCTTCCACAACTCACCTTTAACCTCCCTTCTTCTTGTCTTTTTTGAAGCACTCAGTGCTCTTTCCTCTGCAGTGATATCCAGAGCATGTAGTTCATCTTCTAAAGATTTTATTTTAGAAGCCATATTGCCAAACACCTAAATGTTCCAAGATTTTAAGACTTGCTTTAGATGCTTTAGCTTTTGGGAGAGTATATACCCAGACCAGCCAACAAAAGAGGTATCTGACCATGATGAGACAAATAACTGAGCAAAGCTGGGATGAAGAGTCCACGCATTTAGGAACCTGAAGGGTTTTGGCCCCCAAACTCTGGTATCCTCCATCATTAATAAAGGGCAATGGTCTGAGATTAGCCTGGGTAAACCCCACAATTTCATTGAGAAATTAATCATCCATTCAGGACTTAGTAAAATCCTATCAATTCTGCTCCATTTCTCTGATTCTTGGGCATTGCACCATGTGTATCTCCTCCCATGAAGTGGTAAATCATGAAGCTCACTATTGCCAATGAATTCATTAAGATGCTTCATGCCCCTATCTCTCCTAGAGCAACCAACTCCTTCACTAATATGGCTAATTTCATTAAAATCACCACCCATGCACCAAGGAAGAGGGAAAAGGGATTTAAGCTTTAAGACATTAGCCCAAAAAAGAAGATCTGGCACCAACATCATTGGGGCCATGAATATTGAGCAGGACACAGTCAAAAGTATTATATAAAGAACCTGAGAGTAAGATGTACCTCCTATTACAGCAGCAGCCAGAGAGTGTGAAAACTGCAGGATCCCAAATACATAGCAGGCCTCCGGCTGTTCCTTCAGGATCAACAGACATAAACTCCATATTTTTACTTCCCCATAGCCTTCTAGCATCACCATCTGATATAACTGCCCTTTTGGTTTCTTGAAAAAAAACAATATCAACATTTCTGTCCTTTAGGAGCCTCTTGATTCTACCCTGTTTCTCCACCTTTCCCATACCCCTGATATTCCAAGATATTAACTTCATGATAAACCCATTGATTCACTCACAAGGCCCTACTCCTTCCATTTACTGCTAGGCCTTCCCCTCCTTGGCAATTTTCTCCTTGTCTTTAAGTTCTAATTTAGCAATTTTGTTGAGCACAATGCCTTCCTTCCCATGGTAGTCTATTCCAAGAGACTTCCTGAATTGAATTGTAGCTGCAGCTTCAGAAAGAATCTGGCTTCTCAGAGAAGAATCACCTGCAAATGAATTAGACTGGGCTAGAGCTTTAACAGTAGGCCTGTAAATAACAGATTTAGCATAGTGCTTCTTGGCTGCATTGTTTGTGTACGCATGAATCCTAGCAAAGCTAGTGAACCCCTCCATTTGTGACTTCATCTTTCCTTTATTCCTCAGGTTTCGCTTGTGATCTTTGCTGGAGGCTGAGATTGAGTCTTGGATTGACTGTGTATGAGCAAAATTACTCCTTATACACACGGGTTTAAGTTGGACATAGGGCCAGAAAGTAACCCCTTATCTGATGCAGGTACATTGGGCCTACTAGAAGAGCCATTGGAATGAATGGGCCTGCAATTGACGGGCTGCTTTTCAAAGTGGGCCAAGTCCACTTCTAAATTGATGCCGGGTCCACCACCAGCACTTACTTCATTCATACAACATATAAACCCAGGTGTATAAACTTGTTCAATACACTTTTGTCTCTCATCATTGCTATTTGAAAAGTGGTCAACCTTTTCCATCAAATCTATCAGAGGCCTCTCAGCACACGCTCCTCCTCTGTTTATGCCTCCATCACAGGGTGTCTCCTCAAACATGGCCTTAACCGCGGCCACCTCATCATCTTCTCCCCTTTCCTTACCATCTAGCACTGGAAAATTCACTTCCTCAACACTGCAACAGGTTGCAAGAGAATTGGACTCGTACATGCCATTATGGTTCAGGCTACTAAGATCTGGTTGGAGGTCTTCACACACAAAAATCTTATGATCTTCACCATTGCAGTCCAAAGATAAAGATTTAGCAATAAATTCCATATTTGAAGTGGCTATCCTGATCCTGGTGTGGGAGAATGATTTTGGTTCACACAAATCTCCTTCAATGCTGAGTACCGAGCCCCATAAACGACCAATCTTGGTGAGAGTGCTTCTGTTCCAAACATGTAAGGGTATCCCACAGCATTTGTGCCATACACATCTTTCTTGGACAAAATGATTTCCAGATTTGAGCTCTGCCACAAACTGACTCAGATCCTTAAACCAAGCCTTGAGGTTGTCAATGTTTGATGTCAACACCTCCTGAGTGTTAAAAGTTAATATTACATCCCTTCCACACCCTTTTCGAACCAAAATATGCTCCAGACCTTTCTCCTTCAGTGCTTCACGAACGCTATGAATGGAGTGTTCTATATTCAGACAGATAAAGGCACTTTCATAGAGCCAACCGTTGCCCTCTTCAGTGACTTTGATAGAGGTGTTCATATTCACCCCTTGCACAACATCAGCAAAGGATCTTTGGCCAGCAAATGGAGCATGTCCTCTGGATCTGCTTGCTTCAAAAGATCTCCGGATGAACTACTGTTTCATAACTTCTGGATTTCGCCTGTTATGCTCCTCCCTCTTTCTTCTATCAAGAGTTGCAGCTTTGACTTCTAGAACTTTGTCATCCACCAGAAGACCGTTGGCTTTTTGAATGGCTATATCAGTTGCTACATTACAATCGAACCTCACAAATCCGAACCTTGAATGTGACACTACTCGTCTTTTGGAAGGAATGAAAACATCCTTAACTATGCCAAATTTTGAGAAGAACTTGAATAATGATTTAGCATCCATTTTTGATGGTATATGATCCACAAAAACAGAGAAAAGACCATGCGATGCTTCCATGCCTTTCCCTCTTCCACCTTTCCACTGATTTACAGCCGGAATCCATCCTCCTTTTCTTTGTTGCTCCATTTCTTCTAATATTAATTTTAGATAGAGTTTGAAGATGACATGCTATGAGGGAAACTATATATGCAGCTAGGAATTGGGGAAAAATATTATCAATCACGCTTGCACCCACAGATTTTCATTTGCACCCAATAAACAATCACGCTTTCTCATAAAAAGCAAGATCTTTTACAGACAAATAGTCACACTCACATCACGCTTTTTTTATTATAAAAACTGAGACTAAGAACTTAAGGTCACAGTTACAAACTGTGACACAAAGCACACTTATCAAATTCACACACAAATTATTACATGGTTTATGATAAAGTCAATCCAGTTATACCACAACAGAGAAAGCTATGCCAGCACAATCAACCCGACCAATGAGATGACACGTAATTTATACAAACCCAACAATAGATCAAATGTAATCCTAACAACTAAACAATTCTTCATATATAAGAACACCTTGTAGCCTTGGTTTCTTCATAAATAGGGCCAATATCTATTTCTCCAACTTCTTTATCAAGATAAGCATACCCAATAAAGCACCTGCAATCAAATTTTGAAAATGAAAGACATTAAAGACTAGCTAAAAGCTATTACATTCAATGTGCTTGTGTCTAATGGGTGCAATGTGAAATTTTTTTTTTTGTTTTACAAAATGTAATACATAGAAAATATTCTCCAATATTTAGTTAGAACTTTGAAATAATGGGTTAATAATAGTCAAGGTGTGCTGTAGTGGTAGTGGTTGTGGTGGTGATGGTAGGATGTTGGGGAAGAAAGAAAGAAATAACTAGTAGAGACATATTGGTTAAAGAATTATTTGTGATAATTAAATCATCAAAATAAAGTTGAACAAGATAAACCTACATTAGAGAATAATATTAAACTCTTGTATTTACTATAAGATCAATTTATTTTGAACGTACCTGGCCAATGAAATGAATTCTGTATATAGTAACATGAAAATTGTACTATATGAAAATAAAAATTGATGAATTCTGTCTAAACTTTGGCCAACCTAACAGTCTACTAATTTATCCTTGTTCAAGATCCCCCAAGCAATTTTAGGAGAATTGGATAGACTGTAGAGGAAATTTCTCTCTTTAATACAATTTTTTTTCTTTGCTGATAAATTAAAAAAACTATTTCTCTAATTCACACAAACGAATTCTATAAACAACCAAAGAACAAAAAATACAACTCTTTACTTCACACAATGAAATAGTTTAGCAGAGTGTTTAGATTTTGAAAATAAAATAGGGTGAATTATACTAATAGTCTCTACATTCTATCTCTTGCGTCATTTTAGATACACTTTTAATTGGCTCAATTTTTATCTTTAATTTTTTTTTTTTTAATTTGGTTCAATTGATTACGTCATTAGGGTTTTTTTAATAAGAAAAATGAGCATATAAGTGGCATGTGTCATACTTCTAAAGGAAAAATTATAAACTTGAACAATTTAATTAATTAATCTCAACCAACTTAGTAATCATTTTTCGTAAAATGCTCATTGTCAATTGGACGAAATTGATACAATTTAAAATTAAAAGTCACAATTGAGCAAATTGAAAGTTTAGAAACTAAAATGACACAATGAACAAAATGTAAGGATTACTTGTGTAATTTGCACTTAAAATAATTATTCTAATTTAAACTCATGGACCTTTTATTATTATTATTATTATTATTATTATTATTTGTGTGTGTAGCAATAATGCATACCTTTTCTGTAAAGAGATTGGCGATGCACCGCAGCAAATGGTAAATATTACTCCCCTTCCACATCAAAACCTGCATATGGCAAGTATCAAATGATTACTAATACTAAAAATATAGCTATCAACTTGATACATCATTATTGTCAACACCACCTCTCCTTTCGAATATCATTTATTAAAGATCACTCAATTATTAAGTTATTGAAATTGTCACTTATGACTTACAAGAAAAAGAAAAAAAAAAAAAAAAATTATCTAAGGACTCAACTTTTTAAAAATGAATAATATTAGGTATCATGAAAAAAATATCATGAAATACATCATGAAGATATTTCATCTTTTGATTAGTGTGTGGTGTTTTATTGCATGTGTGATCCAAAGGTAGAGAATTTTTTATGATCTCATGATCCCTAGCATTAAATAGATTGAGACTTTGAGCATCAATCACCACACAGTATGCTTGTTTATATAATCGTATTGATAGATAGATAGATTTGTAATTTGTAATTTGCCTTTTACCTATTGGCTTAAAAAAAAAAGAAAAGATTACATTATGTTTGACTAATAAATTTGGACAGAGAGAAAATAGAACAGGTAAGTGAAAATAGAGAAAAAAAAAAATTAACTTATATTTTTATTCATATTTCACTCACTTTTTTTTCTTTTTCTTTTTAAATCCCTACCCAAAATCATGATTTGCTTTTAGATCACGAATTTGAGTAAAGATTTGAAAAGAAAAAAGAACAATGTGAGAATAATAGGAATGTAATACAGGTTAATTTTTATTTTTTAAACTTTTCGTTTCAAAATATCCAAACAAAGCATAAGTTAATGAATTAATCTATTGCTAACCAATACTATATTAGAGACAATCACGTTGTGACGTTGTCAAGAAATTAGTGTATAGACAATGCTCAAAATCTGGAGGATATACTATTAATATCTGAAACATACAAATTGTTGGAGACAAAAATTATATCTCAAATCTTAAGATTAAAAACATGCACACAGTTTATTAAGGATAAGTACTTTTGGAGATCTTATTATTATTATTAGAGCAATGCTGTATGTAATTTTATTTCTTATCTCTTTTTATCATTCCTAGAAACAAAATAATGAGATTTATATTCACAAATGCATATAGGACCAATTTATTTGTCTCTGTTTTTCTTCTTCTTCTTCTTCTTCTTCTTCTTCTTCTTCTTCTTATTATGGATAAAAGATAGGTTTAGTCCTTAAAGTATGCATTCTATCATTTTAATCCCTCAAGTTTTAATTTTATCACTTTAGTCCGTAATTATCAATTTGAGTCAATTTAGTTCTCTAACGTCTATTTACATTGATAACAGAAAAAATATTTTACGCTTGGGTAAAAGATAGTTTAGATAACCATGTGGCAAGTACAGTGCAGTGAAGTCACTTTCTTGTGTAAGTAGGACAAACAAAATGAGAGTGGTCTCTGGAGGTGTTAGCTTCAATCATCACATGTTTTATGTTGAATGAAGCCAACAAGTACGACTGGATGTAAACAAACCATGGATGACAACAGCTAAATTGTGTATTCGAATTCTCTCGCGCACTTTCTTCATCAAACAATTCAACAATTAATCATTATTACTAGCTGTGGCTTTTGGATAAACTAAGAACTAAAATGTCAAAATTGAAACTTAAGGGATTAAAATGAAAAACAAAATTATCTCTTATCCTATTATTATTTTAGATAACCATGTGGCAAGTACAGTGCAGTGAAGTCACTTTCTTGAGTAAGTAGGACAAACAAAATGAGAGTGGTCTCTGGAGGTGTTAGCTTCAATCATCACATGTTTTATGTTGAATGAAGCCAACAAGTACGACTGGATGTAAACAAACCATGGATGACAACAGCTAAATTGTGTATTCGAATTCTCTCGCGCACTTTCTTCATCAAACAATTCAACAATTAATCATTATTACTAGCTGTGGCTTTTGGATAAACTATTAAATGATGAACGAATGAGGAAAATGCTAGAGAATCTTTTTCCTTAAACCACTCCCATTTTGGGATGTCGATGTGGCAAATATATATATGGGGTAGTGAAGTTGCTTTCTTGAGAAAGTTTTATTTTTTTGAAAACAACGAGAATGAAAGAAGCATATTTGTGTGGAAGTATAATTGGTTACCTCGATACTTGGGGCAGAAATCTACACGCAACTTGGAGATATGAATTTGGGATTCTGAAATTCCAATACACACGAGACTTGGAAGATTTTCAAGTTCCACATTCAAAATTTTGATTTTGCCCCATACTTCTTCTTTTTCTACTTCCCTGGTGACAATCTTTTCTACTTTCTCGCAATTTCCAATTCTTAGATAATTTAGACACTCAAGGACGTTGACCATGGAAATTGTGAATAGATATCTCAAGTTGTCACACCTCTCCACTTCTAGGGATTTTAGAAATTTGAAACAATGAGTTTGTTGGGAAACATTCTTCCATATATGCATCAACTTGGGCAAATACATCAATTTCAATTTAAAATATCCTAACTCAATGATTGATGTTCCTTCCTCACCTTGGAGGTCAAATATTGTTTCCAGTGAATCACACCACCATACCTTCAGCCGTTGTAGATTTCGTAGTCTCTGTATTAAGTTCGATGAGATCACATTTGATAATTTCCCGCAACGTTGGACCAACATGAATGCCACTTTGTCAAGGCAGTCAACTTCAAGTTGGTTGTGCCACATCTCTATTGATCCATTTATGTCTGTGATAGTAAGTTTTCCAAATTCGTACAGAGACCAATTACTGAAAATAAACTGCAAGACCATTAAACTTAACTGTGTTAGTGTTAGTGACATAATTATTTTACCCAAAATTTCATTTTATTCAGGGGTGTAATAGATATTTTGGAGATAATTTGAGGATAAAATAAAATTTTGATTGAAATTTAGATGTTATATCAACAACTTTCATTTGATCATGAACAACAATTGACAGTGGGGTAAACTTAATGCAAAATCAATTAATATTATAAAATAAAAAAACTGTTGTAAGCAGTGCATCGAGCCAAAAATTAAATAGGGAGATAGCCTTTTCTAATTAAATTTGACACATCCAACTCTCTTCCCTAACATTTGTTAACAATTACCATCTAAATTTTGCCTTTTGTGCCATTTTAATTCTTATAGTTTTAATTGGTTCAATTTTGATATTTAATTTTAGATTTTATGTCAGTATAGTCAAATTAATAACACCTTTAGTGTTTTTTATTATTTTTTATTGTTACATAAAATGATTACTAAATTGATCGAGATTAACTTATTGAGTTGAGCAAGTTCATAGTTGTGAACCTAAAAGTATGGCACATGTTACTTATGTGCGCATTTTTTTTATTAAAAACTGATAATAATTGTAATCAATTGGTTTAAATTGAGACAAAATCATAAATTTATAATCAAAATCGAACCAATTAAAATTATAGGAACCAAAATTATTCAGGAATCAAAATACAAGAATGACAAGCATTACAAAAAGTGACTTAATTTGTGTGGAAGACATCGAAAAATGAATTAATTTGTGTAAAAAAGATTTTCTATTTTATAAAATTAAAAACATTTCTCATACTAAAATCTTAACACCACCACCACCCCCCAGCACTCTACTACCATCAGCACTCATTGCCACCACCACCCACCTATCACCTATCAATGCTATCCTAACACTGCCACCACTTTATCACAACTACAACCCTCACCTCTTTAATATAAAGCCACCTAAGGAAAGGTTTTAGGTTTCTTTTTTTGAATACTCTACATTTTTTTACGATAATGTTACATAAAAATAAAATAAAACAAAATAAAATAATTATAAAAAATTTTATACAAATAATATGACATTTCATAGTCTTTTTATTTCAAACAAAAAAGCATCCATCTTGTGGTAGTTCATAACTGTAAAATGTTCCGGCCACCAAATTTTTTATAAGTTATATATATATACATATAACTAAATTTTATTTGTAAATTATTTTTATTTTTTAAATATCATAGTTAAGGCTTATATAGCTTATCATTTATTTATTTATTTCTAAAGAAAGCTCCACTCATTAAGAAATAACATTCAAAAAGTGATATTGTCACATTATCACAAGTAACAATATAAAATTATGGACTACAGAAAATTTAAAAAAAATATGTATATATATATTATGAACATTGAATGGAGAATGGAGAATGGAGAATTTGAGTAAGGATAAATCAGTAAGACTAAAGACACTTAAAAATCCTTAATAATTTATTAAATTAGGGTAACGTTTTCCTTTAGTTGGCAAAATTAACTGAAGATGTTGTGGGGTTTTTGTGGGCCCACCACGGGGCCACCTCAATTATATGAGCCGTTCATATCTAAGAACATGTTAGAATACCATCCTTACAAAAAAATCAAATTGTTAATTTGGACAACTATAATTACGTGGTTATATCACATTTGTATAAGAAATGGACAATAATTATATTTTTTATGATAGAATGTTTATTATTTTGAAGATAAATGTAATCGACTAATGTGTCTATAGTATTCAAATCAATTTAATTTTTTACAAGTATAATCTTCTCAACGAGCCATAATTCTAATGACTACGGCAAACCGCGTTTGACAGAAATACCATAGGACACATTTTATACATTAAACAAAATTAAAACAAATTAAGGACTGCATAGCATGAAAATGAATTTGCGTGTAATGATCTCACGCAAAATAATAAATCCTATTATTATGCACCAATTAAATATGAACAAAATTAGATTGAATGGGTATTGATTGACTAATTGGACATCTTAAACCGTTCAAATCAATTGGGAATCACGATCAAATCATGGTGTGGAATTAACACAATTTATCATCTCGTATATTATCAATATATTAGTTTAATAAACAATACTCGGGTCAATCAAAATTATGATCAAATCATGGTGTGGAATTAAGACAATTTATCATCTCATATATTATCAATATATTAGTTTAATAAACAATACTCGGGTCAATCAAAATTATGATCAAATCATGGTGTGGAATTAAGACAATTTATCATCTCATATATTATCAATATATTAGTTTAATAAACAATACTCGGGTCAATCAAAATTATGATCAAATCATGGTGTGGAATTAAGACAATTTATCATCTCATATATTATCAATATATTAGTTTAAACAAAATAAATAAACTAATAATATTGATTCGATAATTAAAACAATATGATTTTATGATCGTTGACTTCAAAAAATGGATTCACAAAATTGGAAGGTTTTTCATTTTTATGAACACAAATATGACAATTACATTATTATGATTATCATATCAATATGATTTGTTTTTGATAATTTATGCACAAAATTTACAAAATAAACAATTTAGATTATCGAAATATCCAGACTGTTTATTTTGTAAGGTCTTTCGTGTAAATCTTCCAAACAAAAAAAAATTATCTCATAATTGTAACCTATTCAATTTGTCATGTTTGACACACCCCAAAAAAATGGTTAGCCTATTTTAAAAACACACATTTTTCACAAATTTTTCTTTGTAAGAATTGATAATTAATTAACGGTGAATGCTATATTTTAAAGTTCATTAACGTACCTTTCCATCCAAGAGATGGTGTTGAGATGAGGTTGAAAAGTCTGCCTTTTGTTGGTCTAGCTTGCGCTGAAATACTGATGGGAGTATCTTCATTTTGGGACAGTTGATTACTTCTATTGTTTTCAACAACGATCCCTCAAACGTACAAGCCTCAAAGCAAAAACTACTGAGATTTGGCAAATCACTGAGTTTGAGACTACTCAGTTGAGGGAACATGATCATATTTGTTATCACTGCATCATCTGCATTTGGTTCATTTCCAATGATTGACTCCATCATACCACATTCAGTGACCTTTATTTCTTGTAGTTTTACAAGAAGTTTGGTTAGAGAGTATGAGAATAGATTTCTCAAATTATCACAATCATTTACTATTAAGGATCTTAGATTCTGAAAGCCTTGAATTCCTGGTGAATTGTCCTTCCAAATATGTGTCAACTTTCGTAGATGGCTTAATCTCACCTTTTTTAATGAAGGGAGTGCCATATCTGATATGCTGTCTTCCCAAACAAGTCCTTCAAGGTCAAAGGCTACTCCAATAGATCGACAGTCCGTCACTTCAAGTACTTCAAAATTTTGCATGCCCTTAATTGAATTGGATGGAAAAAGAATATTTGAGAGCCCATGACAACATTGAACTGTCATCTCTCTTAGTTTAGCTTCAAGTTCCCCAGGCCAAATTTCCATCAGATTCTCCATGCCACAGATGGTCAATTCTTCAATGGTAGCCAATTTATCCTATGAGTTCATTCACATGGTGTTACGAACATAACTAAGCAATACAAATTTGATTCCATTAAACATCATCCATTTAGTTTTCAAATTAATATACTTCATATTTGAATAATTAAATGTAAACAGTTCTTACAAATCTGTTGCAATACATTTTTAGATCATTGACCTAACAAACCTAACCCATTTTTTTAGATTCTTGAATTTTCCAAATATAAAAATACACATTAAATTTATTTTTGGCATACTGAGAATCTTAGGCCCCATTTGGGAATAGGTTATTTTAGTGGACTTTTTTACTATTTTAGCCTGTCTAAAAAGGTTATGTTTAGAAAAATAATTGGCTATTTTTTTTTTTTTTGTAATTATTGAGTTGATGGTTGTGAAAAAAAAATGAAATTATTATGGTTCGGATGTGACATTTTATCTTATTGACTATTTTAGTCTATTTTATCTTTATTAACTATTTTAACCTAAATTCAACTTTCCAAATAGAGCCTCAATCTAGATTCTTAATCCATCAGAATCTTAATACACCATAGATTCATAAATTTTCCAAACATAAAAATACACATTAAATTCAAGGTGATGGGGCATCGAATCAAGCAGTAGATAAATGAGGTACAAGGATTTTTTTCATGGTTATCAGAATCTTAATTTAGATGGTAAGATCTTATGATTTTACAATTTTAGTTGGGTTAAATGATTCAAATCACAGTAAAATCTTAAATTTATTAAGGGTTGTTTTGGCAAGTGCAAAAAAAATTAACTTTTTTATTTATTACCAAAAGACATGAAAAAATTTAAAAAATGATATAACCCAAATATGTCAATAACCTGACTTTTTTGACAATTTTCAAAAGAAGCCTAAGATCTTGAAGTGACTATAATTATAGTTATAAAATCGTATAGAATCACGTTATAATTCCGATTCTATTAGCACTATGATCTGCTTTTACTACAATCTCATTCTTACCAAATTTTTTTCTTATTTATTTCTTATATCTATGTGTATATCTATAAATTTGACTATAAACTTATCAAAAATGCTAGAGGCCTCAAATATTTTACCAAAGTTTTACCAAATGTCTCACATGGGTGTGGGACCCACATGGGACCCACATTGTGTGGGTCCCACACCCATGTGAGACATTTGGTAAAACTTTTGGTAGAATATTTGGGGTCTCTAGCATTACTCTAAACTTATGTCACACGTCTCTTCTAATTTATGTTAACTTTGAAAATAGGAAAAGGCTACGACACACAACCTTTGAGGGGTGTATACCATATGCACTTTATAACAATAGAAGAAAATGATATAATTTCATACTTTCTGAGTCGTAATTAAAAATAAAAAAAAAAATTCATAACCAAAATCTCAAAATAATGTCATAACTAAAGAAAAAAACTGGTCATAACTAAATAAGAAAATGACATAACTAAGGGTGCATATGGTATGGGGTGTATATAATAAAATTCTTCTTGAAAATATATTATAATGCAAATTACACCGGCGGTCCCTATATTTTATCCCTTGGGTCATTTTAATCCCTACACTTTCAATTGGCTCAATTTTGACCCTTAATTTTAAATTTTATTTCAATTTAAAATATGGCACATGACACTTATGTGTGTGTTTTCCATTAAAAAAAAATGCTAAGAATAATAATTAATTTAAACAAAATCATAAATTCAGAATCAAAATCGAACCAATTGAAAATACATAAACTAAAATGACACAAGGAGTAAAATACAGAGATTACCGTCGTAATTTGTCCTATATTATATTAAATTTACCATTTTTCTTTAATGATTTCAAAATTATGTAACATGCATTTTCATTATCAAATAATTTTTATTTTTAATTTTAATTTGAATTAAAAAGTAGAATCTTCCAAAGACACCACACTAAAAAAATTCACTGGTGTAAGGAGTAAATTGGGAAATAAAGTTTAGGGCCAAAAAATGAATTGGTAATACTTCAGGGGCACAAAGTTGATTTACCTTAAAAATTAAAAGTGTATTAACCTATAGTTTTGTTTATCAATGTTTTTCAAATCTATATGGATTAGCCTTAATTCATAATAATAATTTTAAGAACATTGTAAAAAGCTTTATCAAATTCAGATTTTGTAAGGGTTCGTTTGGGAAGTAGGTTGGCCTTGGCTTTTGGCTTTTTTGCTTTTTTGGCTATTTTAGCCTGGGACTAAAAAGTCTAATTTGGGAAGGGCTTTTTGCTTTTTTGGCTTTTTTAACTTTTTTGTGAGAGAAATAATGTAATGATTATGAGTTGGATGTGATGTTTTATCTTATTGGACTAAAAAGTCTATTTTATTTTTTGTAATTAAAATAGCCAAAAAAGCCTGGCTTTTGGCTTCCCAAATGAAGCCAAGTAGGGTTTTTCAATAGAAAATCCCATATTGAATTCGTACAATCCCTGAAGTCCCATTGAACAGTTAGTTCAAGTCTCTATTTTAAGAATTGTAGGTGTTAACTTTTGTTTAGCAAGTCATTAGCGTCATTAGATTAATCTTCAGAATTGTTTAGATTGACCTTTGTCATACATATTGATTGATATTTTTTGTTATAAATTCATGGGAACTGCTAGGGTGTGTACATCATCAAAATGTGCATATCATGTGCACCTTACTTTTTAACCAATAGATATCAAGAAGTTTAATTTGAACCATTAAATAATTTAATTAAAAAAAATTGAGGACCTTCTCAACCGGTTATAATTTTCTTTACTGAAGACTCTCTCTCCAAAAACTCACAATCAATTGTGGTCATTGAATCTCTCTTACTCTAATGAATGGTACAATCGTTTAAATAATAATAATGTAAACCCATATCAATCGATTGTACATTCAATTGTAATTGTTCAATCCACCTTTCATTTGCAATGGCTACTAATGGATTGTACAATCAATAGTGGTCTTTCGGCCCAACCGATTTGCCATCAATTATGATTTTCTATTCATTCTTTCATGCCAATTGAATAAACAATTACTTGTGCTATAATGACAAAAGTTAGGAAAGTGTCATGATATTTGTGTTATATGTTATACAATTGATTACACAATTGTGTTTGAAATTTTCATAGTGGTGATATTTTGTGAATATTGTTATGATTTTGGAGAAAAAGTTATAATCAACATGTTATGGTTATGATTTATTAGTAAAAGTTATGATTTGTTATGATGAATCATAATAAAAAAAAAATGTTATGATAATTTTTTAGAACTAATTATATTTGTTATGAGTCATTATCGTATTATTATGATTGATAGTGTCTTATTCATTGTAATTGCTATGATATTTGGAAAAATTTATGATTCTTTCATGTAACATGTTGGATGACCGGTTTAACAAGTCACTTTTTATGATGCGACACAATACGAATCACACAATAATTGCATATCATACATATATCGTTTCAGAAGGTGCACGTCATACTATTGTATACACCCTCAAAAGTGTAAACTATTTGCAAGGTATGACATTTGTGGGGTTGATTACCACAAATGTCATAACTTATTATTTCTCAATCATAACTAAAAAAAAAAAATCATAACTAAACACATTTTGAATCATAGCCAAAACAATGTCATAATCAATATGACAATGTGTATAACCAAGTCATAAGAAACATCACACTAATGAGTTATAACTAACACCACTAACATTTATTTATATATTTCAAGATATGACGAATCATTACAATAACAAAAAAAATTAAAAATATAGTCTTACTGCTTTATGATTTAACAAATCTAGATTACAACAAAAGAAAAAAATATTAAACTTATAATACAAAATAAAATTTAAACAATTACGGAAAAGTATTAATCAAATAGTACTTTTATTGTATTTTTAAATGGGTCTGGCTTCTCTCCAGTTTGTGATCTAATTGGAGGGTGCTGTTGGGCCCATGGAGGCCTACCACGGGTCCCGTTTTAATAATCTGAATCATGCAATGTGTAGAACTTGTCGAGTACTATATACCTGCAAAAAAGTCCCACTTTGGTAATTTATATCATTTTTTTTTTTATAAAAGTCTTTATGTATAGATCATAAAAAAAATAAATAAACTAATCATATCGATTCGATAATTAAAACAATATGATTTTATGATCGTTGACTTCAAAAAATGGATTCACAAAATTGGAAGGTCTTTCATTTTTATGAACACAAATATGACAATTACATTATTATGATTATCATATCAATATGATTTGTTTTTGATAATTTATGCACAAAATTTACAAAATAAACAATTTAGATTATCGAAATATCCAGACTGTTTATTTTGTAAGGTCTTTCGTGTAAATCTTCCAAACAAAAAAAAATTATCTCATAATTGTAACCTATTCAATTTGTCATGTTTGACACACCCCAAAAAAATGGTTAGCCTATTTTAAAAACACACATTTTTCACAAATTTTTCTTTGTAAGAATTGATAATTAATTAACGGTGAATGCTATATTTTAAAGTTCATTAACGTACCTTTCCATCCAAGAGATGGTGTTGAGATGAGGTTGAAAAGTCTGCCTTTTGTTGGTCTAGCTTGCGCTGAAATACTGATGGGAGTATCTTCATTTTGGGACAGTTGATTACTTCTATTGTTTTCAACAACGATCCCTCAAATGTACAAGCCTCAAAGCAAAAACTACTGAGGTTTGGCAAATCACTGAGTTTGAGACTACTCAGTTGAGGGAACATGATCATATTTGTTATCACTGCATCATCTGCATTTGGTTCATTTCCAATTATTGACTCCATCATACCACATTCAGTTACCTCTATTTCTTGTAGTTTTACAAGAAGTTTGGTTAGAGAGTATGAGAATAGATTTCTCAAATTATCACAATCATTTACTATTAAGGATCTTAGATTCTGAAAGCCTTGAATTCCTGGTGAATTGTCCTTCCAAATATGTGTCAACTTTCGTAGATGGCTTAATCTCACCTCTTTTAATGAAGGGAATGCCATATCTGATATGCTG